TTGTTACTACCAGTAAGGCACTTGTTACTAGTAGCGATGCACTTGTTCCTAGTAGCCTTTTCAAAGAGTTGAAATTGGTCCTAAATATGTGGTCTCATCCTTCATTCCAGGCTTCGTACCTATATTGAAAAAAAAACGATGCTGAGGCAACAACTGCTGTTTCGGGGCCAAGGTGGAAGCAAAACGAGAACGAATTGCTGAATAAAAATGGATAAAAATGGCACCAAATCTACACCAAGAACAACCAAAGTTTGCATGCCAACCAAATCCCAGATCTCTCACTCCTCAACGACAAGCCAACTAAGCATTGAAGTCTTGCACAAGCTTTCAATCGTCGACAGTGTCTTTTGAACCCTTCTAGTTCTGCCAGTCTGCTTCAGCACTCTGTACAAGTACATACACGAATCAAACACCTCACACGACAACTCGAGTCCTCTTGTCAACAAGCCTAGAGGTCAATAGTTGAATTATGTGATCTGTATATTTACATATGCTGCTGCAGAACTTTAAATTTAGAAACGCACCGCAATAGAATGCACACTAATCTCGGAGTCCCAATGGTGGTGTGAACACTGGCTCTTCCTCTTCAAGCACTAGCAAACTCCAGAAGCCAACAGCCTAGCAATCAGGAAGAGATGCTCCGGTGGTCTCTACAATCTCTGCTTCTGGCCTGCCGCAAAGATTCCATCAGAAGCTGATGCTGCAGGGATGCAAAGGATGCGCTCCAACTGTTACGGAACTCGATGGTGCAAAGCTACTAGCATGTTGCTCTGTGATTTTATCCGTTTGCGACCAAGCGGCCACTTGGTCCAAAGCACTGCTTCAATCTTCTTTGCATGCTGTACCATGAGCGCCGCCTTCAGGTGTCGCAGGGCTGCACTGGGAACAGGCATCTGAGACTTGAATTTTTGAAGTCCGCTCAACACGCTATTAGTAACAAGTGCATCGCTACTAGTAACAAGTGCCTTACTGGTAGTAACAAGAAGCTATTAGTAACAAGTGCATCGCTACTAGTAACAACACGCGGTCCTGTCGTTTCGGTGGCAGCTCTGCAAAGGGTATCCACAGCGACCAGCCACACCTCAGTTAAACTCCTTATATACCACATTTTCTCTTGGTTCATCTTGGTTCTATGATCAAAACCTGCCCCCTGACTCTTGATGTGTGCCCCTCTTCTTGCAGCATCGTTACTGTTTTCGTGACTTTTCACATTTAGAGCACCAATCCAGGCTGTCTGCTGGCACCAGAGAGAAGTCCATTGTTTTAAACCTTCGAGTGAGAGATCACACTTTCGGCAAAGATCTGACATGTCGTCACCTTGGCAAATGCTTCAATTGCATGGCCTTCTGTCATAGCAAAGTGAACATCTCCAAGCACCAGAGCGCTGGTACCGTGGATCCTCCAAACGTTTCAAAATTCCGAACCTCCCGAATTGGTTCTGCCTAGACTCTAGACTAAATTTGACTCGATATCACACTCATTTCATTGAAATATTTAGAACCACTGAAAAAGTGCAGCAACACGAATACAAGACTCTCTGTCCCCATCACAGCACCGCGCTTTTGGCTCCTCCTGTTTGAATTTTGGCTCGGGGGCCTCATCAATAGGTCTCTCCTCACCTTGAAGGTCTGGACCTTGGTCACAAAATGGCACGATTGCTTTTTTAAAGATGAGAAAGAGTTAAAGATCAGATGTTTTAAGCGATCTTTCTATGAGTAGTGGGTCTACAAGGTCACTAAAAGGTCACCAAGAGACGCTCAAAGGCAAGCATCACCTCAAAAGGAGACGATGAGTTGCTGTTCTCTTCCTTCCAGTTCAACAATTTCTTTACAAAAGAGAAACGTCCCCCAGCTCATTTATTGAAGTCTCACAATCAAGTCCCTGCAGTTCAACACTCCGAATTTACTATTGTCGACCCCGATCTTGTTCTGGAACCCCATTCTGGACACGCTTGAAGACACATCGATAGCTTACGCTTCCTAAAAATCTAGGAATCAAATGAATAGTGCGAGCGCTTATTCAAGGCAGGAAGCTCCCCCGCGCCACCTTTAGGGCGACAGGGGGAGCTTCCTGGAAGAAGCGTGAGCTATCCTGCATCCTGTCGGTAGTAGCTACTTAATCTACTAACGACTCCCCACCTTGCTTCTACTAGCTACCGACTCCCTAGCTAACCTACCTCACCTCTAGCGGCCTACCCCCACCAAAAAATAGAGTTTCCACAAAAGTTGCAAACTTGGAGGTGGAAACTCGAAGGACCACAAGTTGCTCTCTGGGCCTCGTAGTGCCATTTTCGGTATTGACCAGGATATCGTTTCTTGTCTTCTGGATCAGCCTGTACAACCTGCGAAGCGAAGTCACTCAAACACAATTATAGTATTGTTTTCTGCTACGTACACAGCTGTTTTGCGTAGGTTGTTGTAGGTAGCATGTATGACCAATTAATCTGGACAAACAGTGTCTTGGAGTTGGAGGTATGCTGAAGGAGCAAGAATGTCTTGGATACAGCATGATACAGTAGTTTTTTTGCATTGACGGGATGGCGAGAATTGCTCATCGTGCCTCTTCAATCTCTCCTGGCTCCTGCTTGTAGAATTTCGGTGGCGAGATTGACCCCGATATGGCGCCCTGTCAGTGCTCTTATGTGCAAATGGGATTTGATGGGATGATAATGAGTCAG